TATTCTTATATCCCTTTCAGGGTCTATATATAAGATAACATAAATAAGATACGCCTCTTGTGGGCAGCAAATATATATATGTAATGTTTATTTGGTATTTCTATCACCTACCATATTATAGAAGAATGTAACAAGTGGAGAATGAATGCTAACACCATCTGTTGATGAGGAATCTGCTGACCTACTTTCACTTTCTCAAAACACAGGGCAGCAGACGGTTTATTGATTTGGCGGGAAATTGATGAGATCATCTAGTGATGTCATATCTAGTTGGTATTTATTAGAGAGTGAATACCACGCTAATCAGATGTGGTGACTTTCTATTCAAGTTATCTGAGGAATAATTCATATCTTCATTGTCAAGAGTTCATCTTAGGCTACCAACACATGTTTCTGATACACAATCCTCATCAGGACAGTTAGTTTTAAATAAGACTTGTTGATGATGATGTTAATTGTTGTGAAGTCAACATGAAGGTTATAAAAAGTATAGGACTTATTGTCTAGAGCTCATCCCATGTTCCAGATATATTGTCCTCATCAGGACTGTGGTAATACATGACTGTGGTAATACATGACTGTGGTAATACATGACTGGTAATACATGACAATGGTAATACATGACTGTTGTAATACATGACTGTTGTAATACATGACAGTGGTAATACATGACTGTGGTAATACATGACTGTGGTAATAAATGACTGTGGTAATACATGACTGTTGTAATACATGACTGTTGTAATACATGACAGTGGTAATACATGACTGTTGTAATACATGACTATGGGAGACATTGAAAGAGAATCAAACAATGAAATAACAATGAAGACTAATATAGAAGTGTCTGTTGCTTTTAATACCAACAATTACAAATTATACCGGTAGTGAATCTTAGACTATCAGGCATCGTTAGCACCAGACGTGACAAATCACGGTGTCATTATCAGAATACAATGATTCACGACCGACAGTCCGTCCGTACCAGAATGTCAAACTTAGTCAGATGTCAGAAGATTACATACATCAATCAATATTCAATACATCTTTTACACTCTATCTTTGTCTTGTTATTCATTATATATCACAGAATAACGTTAAATACGAGTCAGGAAATGAAATGACAAATTCAGAAATAAAATAGAATAGAGGTTCATGTCCTAATTCTTGGCTCTTGATGGAGCTGATTAAACCTATAAACATCTTGCTATGTGGGATATTTTACCAGGAGACCTGTATATGTTACTCTTTTTCTATTTCCAGATGTCAGCTTATAGTTTACCTTAGTTGTAAGAGGCTTAACAAGGTTTTTATTGTACACAACGTTTCAACAATTTACATTGTCATCATGAATTAAATGAGAAAGTATGGGTATACTACTAGAATGTATATATTAACATATACAATACCAACAATAAGAGATGAAAAGAAATGACTATATAGTTGTTGATTGTATTAGCTAGTAGGAAATCAGTACTACAAACCTATTGGTCCAATCTTCATGTTATTAGTAGTCTAGTACTACTCTATTAATTCTATTATCAGGAATAATTCCTCCAGGCCGTGATGGCTTAATACACCATCGATTCCCCTAACCCACTTCATCTAATTTAATATATTACTCACAGTCTTTTACTAGTTTATATTGTGGACTCTCTATTTCATACTGTTAGTCATGTGGACTCTCTATTTTATACTGTTAGTTATGTGGACTCTCTATTTTATACTGTTAGTCATGTGGACTCTCTATTTTATACTGTTAGTTATGTGGACTCTCTATTTTATACTGTTAGTCATGTGGACTCTCTATTTTATACTGTTAGTTATGTGGACTCTCTATTTTATACTGTTAGTTATGTGGACTCTCTATTTTATACTGTTAGTTATGTGGACTCTCTATTTTATACTGTTAGTCATGTGGACTCTCTATTTTATACTGTTAGTCATGTGGACTCTCTATTTTATACTGTTAGTTATGTGGACTCTCTATTTTATACTGTTAGTTATGTGGACTCTCTATTTTATACTGTTAGTCATGTGGACTCTCTATTTTATACTGTTAGTCATGTGGACTCTCTATTTTATACTGTTAGTTATGTGGACTCTCTATTTTATACTGTTAGTTATGTGGACTCTCTATTTTATACTGTTAGTTATGTGGACTCTCTATTTTATACTGTTAGTCATGTGGACTCTCTATTTTATACTGTTAGTCATGTGGACTCTCTATTTTATACTGTTAGTCATGTGGACTCTCTATTTTATACTGTTAGTCATGTGGACTCTCTATTTTATACTGTTAGTCATGTGGACTCTCTATTTTATACTGTTAGTCATGTGGACTCTCTATTTTATACTGTTAGTCATGTGGACTCTCTATTTTATACTGTTAGTTATGTGGACTCTCTATTTTATACTGTTAGTTATGTGGACTCTCTAAAAGGATCTTTATTAGCTCAATCAGATACAGAAAAGTATCATTTCATTTCAGTTTCCAACAGAATTCTAAATACCAAATGTCATATATTATAGGTCTAATTGTATATAGATTTCAAGGACTTTCAGAATCCAATTATGGCATCAGGTTTTACAGGTATAGCTTATTATTGACAGTAATAATTGTCCAAAGATTTTGATACTGTAATAGGGTTTAAAGCCTAACTTGACAAGTTCTCAGGAGATTTACATCGTTTGTTACCATCTGCAATTGGCTTGACAAGACAGAATGATATGACGAAATATTTATCTCAAATGAGTGCAAGAAATATGATATGAGCTATCTATAAAAATAGAACTGAATCAACAAGTCTAAAATCAATGAAGACTTGAAAACTATACAGGGATTATCAAATCTTGTAATTTTCTGTTTTATGGTTTTATATTCAATCAGAATTATTGATTTTCTCCAGTTTTAAAATTATTTTATGGTGTAAAAACTAGGTCAAGTCAATAAAGTATTATATTAGAAATACTTCAATTTATATCAATTCTTAATGAAGTTGATCTTATAATAGCTCAGAACGGCCACGCTTATCAACAACGGCTCAGAACGTCCACGCTTATCAACAACAGCTCAGAACGGCCACGCTAATCAACAACGGCTCAGAACGGCCACGCTAATCAACAACAGCTCAGAACGGCCACGCTAATCAACAACGGCTCAGAACGGCCACGCTAATCAACAACGGCTCAGAACGGCCACGCTAATCAACAACGGCTCAGAACGGCCACGCTAATCAACAACGGCTCAGAACGGCCACGCTAATCAACATGAAATAATGGCAAATATTAAACTTGAAGTGCTACAGAAATAAATTCAGTGATAAACTTCAGTGTAATTAAGATTATTATAAATGGGTAATAAAAAATGACGCGTTACAAAAAAATCATTTTTGACAGGGATAACAACTTGGGTTCATGAGGATCCTTGATTAAACTTCTTAGTAATAATTTCACAAAACATAACTACTCAAGGTACACTAAGATCCTTTCTACCATCTGGTCCTTGGTTAAACTTCTTAGTAACGACTTTATTAAGATAACAAGTTAGGTTCACAATGTTTCTGTCTTCCAGCTGGTCCTTGGCCAAACCTCTTGGCATTGATCTTTCTAGGATGTTTTGAGATGTACTTCAATATCAGGTATATTTGAACATTTCAACTCAACCCTTAATCTGCATGACCAAATGTCCTGTCTAGAATCAATATATTCCTGAAGGTCGAGAAGACGATGATAATCAACATTAGTATGAGAATAAATAGCTATTAGACTAGGACTAAACAATAAAACCTAACAGCACAGATATTAATATTTCAATTATAACAGTTAATTAGGGCATTCATTTGACAATAGACCAAACAAGACTAATTTTAATATTCAAATATCCTATTCAGTATTCAATAAAGTCGTCCGTCTGGTAACAGACTCAACAGGGCTGATATTAATATTTCAATTAACATATTCAATAATTAATTAGGTCGTACATCAGGTAACCAGGTGGTAACTCAGTCAACTGTGAAATATATTGATTAATTTCTCAGATCATGTCAAAGACTTGCAGGAGACCAATTCCTTTGTTCCAGACCTCCATTTGTTGTGCCGTCTTGTGTATTTAATGGTATATCAATTGGTACAGAAACACAGTTTGTAGGTTAGATAATATAGCTAGGGTTTCTATATACAATATGTTACTAACAGTTATTGATGTAGAAACACTGTTAATAGTTTGAAGCTATACTAATATTTTACTGCATAATTGACTACTAGTGTCATTCATTGGTTCATAAACCACATTTAGGTTTTTAAACAAAAATTTTTGTTTGATAAAATCTGCTTCGCTTTTAGCTCGCAAAGCTGAAGACACTAGAGTTGAAATGATATCAACAGACGACATGTTATTCATAACCACAGACCATGGAGGTTCTAACATATCATATAATATTATGACATCACAACTTGTTACAGTAACATTACATTATTACCACTTGTTACAGTAACATTACAACTTGTTACAGTAACATTACATTATTACCACTTGTTACAGTAACATTACAACTTGTTACAGTAACATTACATTATTACCACTTGTTACAGTAACATTACAACTTGTTACAGTAACATTACAACTTGTTACAGTAACATTACATTATTACCACTTGTTACAGTAACATTACAACTTGTTACAGTAACATTACAACTTGTTACAGTAACATTACATTATTACAACTTGTTACAGTAACATTACATTATTACCACTTGTTACAGTAACATTACATCTTGTTACAGTAACATTACATTATTACAACTTGTTACAGTAACATTACAACTTGTTACAGTAACATTACAACTTGTTACAGTAACATTACATTATTACAACTTGTTACAGTAACATTACATTATTACAACTTGTTACAGTAACATTACATTATTACAACTTGTTACAGTAACATTACATTATCACAACTTGTTACAGTAACATTACATTATTACCACTTGTTACAGTAACATTACAACTTGTTACAGTAACATTACAACTTGTTAGTAACATTACAACTTGTTACAGTAACATGTTACATAAACTATTATATTTCTGAAATCTGTACCTAGTCAGACCAGAGCTTTAAGACTGAATGATTTCATGTTTGTTTTATAGAATATTAGTAATTCTACTGGGAGCTGCAGTGACTCAGTGAGTTAGAGTCTTGCTTGCTAACTTAAAAATCCAGGGCTCAATCCTGGCATAGGTCGAGATAATAAATAGATTTCTTTTATGTTGAATATTTATAATGCCCTCTGATATTTAGTGTATATAGAATAATTCTCTATATTTACATGTATTTTTTAGACTGTGATATCATCTTAATATAATTTGTCAATTCATGTTGGTATCTTGTTTAATCTCTATATTTTACATACATGTGATATTTTATATAAATCTATTATATCATATTAATATAATATCACCTAGTCAATATATATATTGTTTAAATTTCTATATTTGTATGTATTATAACCACAGGACAAACAACATGATTCAACTGGGTGTTAACTCTACAAAACTACACACTGTTAAAATAAATATCTTTTGTAGATAGATAATGTTTTTGTCGTACGCTAGACATTTCTCTCCATCAGCAAATATCTTCTTTATTGTATTTTAATGTATTTTAATTTCCCTTTAATGTAGGTTACACTGCTATTATTATTAGACACAATAATCAAATAACTCTAATAAGGTTACCTCATTGCACACTGCTATCAGACAAACTCTATTAGGGGTAATTTCCCTCATGACACACTGCATGGCATTGTTAGTACTCACACAAGCAGTGTTGGGAGTCTTATAAAATATTAAGATCCAGTCTTAATCAATAAACTGAAAGTAGACGATTATATCAGGTAAATTCTTGACAGACGCTACTGGGTAGTGGTCAGAGATGATCATTGTCAACACAAGCGGCAGGAATGTAAACAAGATAAACAACATGTAAACAAACAACCAATATTAATGTAAACAATGTGAACGGACCAGATGAAATACTAGCTGATGATTTGACTGATAACCTACTATCCTGACAGTAGTCTGGTCAATATTTAGACGAGAGATATATGATTTGATATTCAGATAGTATAATGTATCCAACACCAAGTTCTCAATTTATCAGTAGGCTACTCAGAAGAAGATTTGATATAGACCTTATTACATCTAACAGTGTATCCTACCCTGTGGGAAAAAAAATAAATTGTACCTATCCAAACCACAATCAATTAAAGCTACAAACCTAAACCTAATATGGAATACCAGGCAAGGTGTCCATGGGTTAAGAGTAAGTACTTTCTGTCCAGTCCACACAGCAAACTCAAATTGTATCTCGGGTGTAGAGAAAGATTTTTATTTTATATATGACCAATATGTTATTGTCTTATATAATATATAATACTCTATTTATACTGAAACATTCCTGTACATGATAAAATATGTTAAGATTGGAATTCTCAGTTTATTTTATAATAATTATATATTTTAATCTGTTTAGAAAATAAACATTAAAATATAAAAACTGTAAGATATTTGAAGAAGGGACTGGGTTTGATTGATAAGAAAGGTTAATACAGAAAGATAAGACAATGGTATGTTTAAAAATAGGTGCCAAATTTTATTTTATAAAGTTTACAATGTCAATAAAATATCTAAACCCCTTAAACACGTTTCACATTAGGTCCTTCGTCATTACTGATGTCATCAAACACTTAGTTTTAGTCAAATTGGCAATTGCAGGAACCACAGACGTTTGATTGAAAATTGGAATGGTGCAAATTGCTAACAGAGTCCCTGATGCACATAAAACTTTAGAAAACCTTTTTACAATCCCTAACAGTAGTACATAGTAAATGAAATTATGTATTTTTGTTATTTAGATGAACAAATACCATTGAAATATAAAATAATATGTTGTTGATGTAGTGATGATATAGTTAGAGTATTTATTTAGAAACTGTCAATGATTTGATTAAAAACCTACTTTATACTTATCTTGTAGATAATAATATTAAATAGAACTAATGATATTATTACCAAACTGTCCAGAAGTTATTCATGTATGTTTTTAATGTTTTTACTGGTATAAATATATCATTTAGTATAATTACTGACCATATTGTTAGTTTTTCTGCTCTTTTAGAAATACTTCTGTCTTGCTGAAATCATCATTATAAAGGTATTCATTCATATAGAAAATTTACANCATTGAGGAACCAGTACCTTATTTATATTGACAACAATCGCTGAAATCCAGTGCTGATAAATGTGTATTTGTTGATAAATAAGAATATTTTGATATATCCCCCCCCCCTCTCCATTTTATATTTATGATATATAGCCTATATCTAGTGTATTATTTATTATATTTATATAGAAATTTGATAATATATTTAACATTTCATTCATAATTAGAGTGAGAATGACGTAAAACAGGTCATCCGTTTATTTAATTTATTACGGTGTTGACTGACTGGAGTTTTAATGAAAACCAGAAATACGGAAGTGTGATAATAAATAAACTATTTCATTTATAAACAAACACTTAAATTCATTCATTAATCGTTTATTCATTAAACAACCAGGTCAAATCCATGATAACTTGGTTTACTATCACATCCAAACAAGACGCCTGTACAATGTCAGCCCCTCCAACCTCTAACTAACAGGGGGAAATGCGTAGGTATATCCCTATATTCTATGCAGGAATTGAACTTGACTCAATTATCATTAATAGAAGTTCTGAAATCAGTTTAATACAGACAAATCTTGGTGAAACCTCAAATCAGGCATATCGATTTGCAGGAATTCACAGAAGTTCAGACAGAGCCAGTGTCAAGGTTATGAAGAGAACTAACTATCGATGAAGAACAAGGCCATTAAATCATTAACATATCACGATTCAATACACTGACTAATCTAACTATCACCTAAATGGTGAGAAACATTAATCTCATCACGGATAAAACTGAAGGTTCTCGCATGTTAATTATGTAGTCATTACATGTTAGTGGTTTTAACTTTGACCTTTAGGTACACCATTTAATCAAATTTACTATCGATTTCAATATATTGTATACAAGACACTGGAATTAACTTGTGTGAACTTTGGAATTTGCCATGGAATTGATTGTGACAAAACAGGCTATAATAAACTTGATTAATATTGAATTATGGATCATAGCAATTACTCAAATTATCTATCTTGATGGTTCTTAACTTTACCAATATTAATGTGTGTGACTAATTGATTAAAGTCAATTAACAACAGTCTGCCTAGATATTTGGCAGACAAGGGCAGTAAGTCAAAGTATACAGGTGTACAGGTCAGGGAAAAAAATCTGGATTTGGGTGAAAAGTTGGGAGATTTTCCAAAGAATATTGTAAGTGATACCATATAACTTGTAACTTGATAAAAATAAGTTGAAGTGTGGGGTTGGGGCTTTTTAGCATATTTATACCAATAATACCATCTCACTACTTCTAGTTCAAGGTCAGTCAGACACCTAATATCCAAGATGGCTGCCATTAATGGCCGTCATGATCAATTAACGAGAATCTCTGTTGTTAATTTAACAGATTTCTTTCAGATAATTGAAACAAATTGAGGCTTGGATATAAATAATAATTAGATCTAACCGCCTGGTGTGAAGGAGTATAATTTAACACAAAACATCGTCATTTTATCTTCATTACATACTGATTGATACACTGTTAGGTTCCATAACTCTAATTATACAGTCAGACCACAGTAATTTAACCTGTTAATGTCTAATTAAAACAGATTTGGTGACCATTAAGAATTCTGGTCATCATGAAGATTAATGAGCTGTGGTCAAGTTGTTATTTCGATGTCCACAGCATAGTTTAATAGAAAAGTCTAGTCACGTTGTTACCGTAAAATGACGTCATGAATTTTTCTTGGTAACATATTCATGAAAAATCTGTGCTTTTCGCAGGAAATCATGACTCTATGACAAATTGCAATGGAGCTCAGTATACTAGGAGTGGCACGGCTTTCCCACTTTTAGTCTACCTATGTCTGTGTCCTAATCTTGAACTACAAATACAATTTAACCTGAATCCCAACTACAATATCAACCTGAATGAAGTATTGTTAACATGTAGAGCCTGTAGGAGAGATAACTAGTGTGTCTAGTAGAAACATGACAAGACAATATATATGTAGATATCACATTTAAACATGGCTTATTGTCTAGTTGATAAAACAATAGACTGGGTAGAAACCATATTGTCTTTATTCTAGACTATCTCACAGGATAAACTTTATATCTTTTTATAACTGAATGTCAGACATTAACCCTGTAATATCAAATAGCTCCACATATTACCAGGCAGTAAAGGTCAAGGTTCATCACCCGAACTGACATTTTATACAATCAATATTTATGCAAATATAAATTATAAAGAGACGAAGACATGATAAACCTGGACACCATCTCACAGAGGGAAGACATGATAAACCTAGACACCATCTCACAGAGGGAAGACATGATAAACCTAGACACCATCTCATAGAGGGAAGACATGATAAACCTAGACATCATCTCACAGAGGGAAGACATGATAAACCTAGACACCATCTCACAGAGGGAAGACATGATAAACCTAGACACCATCTCACAGAGGGAAGACATGATAAACCTGGACACCATCTCACAGAGGGAAGACATGATAAACATGGACTCCATCCCACAGAGGGAAGACATGATAAACCTGGACACCATCTCACAGAGGGAAGACATGATAAACCTAGACACCATCTCACAGAGGGAAGACATGATAAACCTAGACACCATCTCATAGAGGGAAGACATGATAAACCTAGACATCATCTCACAGAGGGAAGACATGATAAACCTGGACACCATCTCACAGAGGGAAGACATGATAAACCTAGACACCATCTCACAGAGGGAAGACATGATAAACCTAGACACCATCTCATAGAGGGAAGACATGATAAACCTAGACATCATCTCACAGAGGGAAGACATGATAAACCTGGACTCCATCTCACAGAGGGAAAATGATTTGACAAACCTACAGAATACTACTAAATGTTATTTACTATTTTGAAATGAACAAATCTTTCTGTATCCGTACAAACAGCACAGGCAGAAACTCAGGGTATAAGATTAACATAATAAGCTATGTGGATTCTCTTAAACTGACACTATTTTCTGTACAAAAACAGAATCAAACAGATCAGTATATGCACGTACAGTTATAAACTAGTCAACACAATCATCTATTTTCATTAACCTAATTATGTTCAGATTTCATCCTTGAATACAAAACTACATTGACTGTAAAATATTTCTCTACATGTCTAAATATGGTAATTAATCAGAAGTTCTGTATCTAATGAAATCCACAGCTCAAATCTCCAGACAATCCTTTGATTAAAGTGATTTTTAAAAACCTTGATAAATGTTGGAATAATGATTATAAAAGAAAAACGTAAATTAACTGAAAATAAACTTTTGTCTCAAGAGAAATTGTAATTTAGTTTTATTTTCTGGGTTGATGAAACTGGTAGAACTAATTACTGAATGTAGTCAAAATGACATAGAACTTTATCTTTAACAATGTAGGCTACTCCATATTGCCTGGATTCTAGATCCATGGCTACAAGCAGGATTCCCCCACATCCCCCCCCTTTCCTAAAAAAAATTCTGACAACCAACCAATTCCTTTTACTGCAATTAAACACCATACACCATTACCCTTTCTAGATATATTACTTGTCTCTCCTAATAATCAAGTCTGGCTACAGATCTGTCTGATTCTCAACCTATTAGAATGGAGGTACCCCTTTCTTATGTTTGGGTTCCCTGAACTACCTTGGCTACCCCCTGCTTACCTTATTCTTACAGTGTGAGGAGAAATAACTTCAACAAAGAGTCATGGATTGTTCTAACAGTTAACATATATGTCTGAATCAACCAATTATATTATAAAATATTACAATTACAAACTCTTTAAGATATTCTCAGACAGCTATTAACTAATACACCAGTTTGTCATTTACATTTCAGATGTTCCTATTCAAATGACAGTTTTATAATTTTCAACTTCTAGCCTCATAACTATCTTTTACTGTCTTTATTCCAAATAGATCTATTGTCCTCAAAGAGACTGTTATAGAAGAAGAAATGGTAACAGGATTATATTTTATCTCTGTAGAGGTCAGAATGACCTAACTAACTCATAAACAACTATAATTCTAGCTATGTATAAAAACTCTATTGTTGTCAGACAAAAACTGATTGTGGTATTCAGTCAATAATTCTAGTAACAAATTATTCTTGTCTCAAATTACGTGACCATGTATATGTTCAATATTCAATATTTTTATATTTAACCTATTTCTGTGTATTTGTGTATTTGTGTATCTGTGTATTTGTGTATTTGTGTATTTGTGTATTTGTGTATCTGTGTATCTGTGTATTTGTGTATTTGTGTATCTGTGTATTTGTGTATTTGTGTATCTGTGTATCTGTGTATTTGTGTATTTGTGTATTTGTGTATTTGAGCTCATGTTAAGTTGTTGAAATAGATTAAACAGTCTGTAACCACTGGGCCTCGGTTTATCGTCCCATCAGAACAACAAGATGCTTTGTCCATGCCAGCTCCTCTTACCATCATCACTGACAGACGGAAACCTGGTTGAATAATCAGAGCTTCTTCTTCCTACAGGAAAGCCCTGTATAGAGAGTTCAGTAACCTACATAATAGATTATCTACAAGCTCTGACAGATATTTTTGAGGACTAGTCACCTGGTAGAAGGTCTTAGAGAGAGATGTACCTTTTAAAAGAAGACTAGAATAAGATATGGGTGTCCTCTCCCCAATAAAAGGTATGGTCTGAGTTGAAAATTCCAATTGCATAAGCAGTGCCAAAAAAGGTGATTTAACCAAAAGCATACTTTTTACTGACATATATTCAATAAGAACTGACAATATCTCTCACTGTCTCAAGTCTCAAGTATAATTATGAAGTAGTAAAACTATGATTAATCTATACTGTAATACACTAGGGTGATATAAACTAGAATTGTAGAAGATATTAGTCACTGTAATTCTGACTGGTATATAAATTAATAAATAGTATTGAGTAGGAATAACTTGTGTAATCAATATCTAGTAGTTTATATCAAGAACTAGGGTTGGTTTTTATCCATTTCCCATCACAGTTTGAGAGATAACATGAAGATGATATTTTCTTTGATTTGTCATTATACATCTCTCAATTCAAATCAAATTACATTAGTTTAGTTTTTGAAGGAATTTAAAGGAATATTCCACACTCTTATTCCTGTGGTTTTGGATTATTCAGATAACTCATAGCAAACTGGTTGTTTTATTTTTTATAATGTTTTTGGACTACTGAATTGTTTTATCTGATATAAACAACGTGTATTAACTATGATATTGATAAAGTAGATGTTAATATAAAAACAAGATATGAATAGAACAAGAATAGATGACAGGATCATCATGTAATAATTTGTCAGTATTAAGATTAGATAAGTTATTACATTAGGCTATTTTCATATCATTCAGATAACCAATCGATATCATAAACATGTACTTGTATGAGAGCAACTTGTTCTTTTGAAAAACAGCACACGTGTCACATGGACTTGGAATTTCTGAGTCATATGGACTTGGAATTTCTGAGTCACATGGACTTGGAATTTCACATGCATCCTATTATTTTACATAACAACTATATAAGTATTAATATTCAATATAGGCTTACATATTGAATAAACAGAGATAGAAATGACTCCAGTTATATCTATCAGTTATACTGAAGTGTAAAACTTGGTGTAAATTATAAATGTGCACTATATTTGCAATTATAGAGTATACCATCATTACCAAATTATCAAAGATGGTGATATCCAAAGAATGCATAGACCAAAAATTTATTTCAGACGCAAACCAAGCCAACAACACACCTTCATTTGGAGCAGTAAGTGTGGACAAATGTTCCTGAGTCATATACAGTGCCTACATTACAACTAGATCAAAGATGGTGATATCAACTGAACATTGTGACTAAAAATTAACATCAGACCCTACAAAATACTTCTTCATTTTGATTTCTTAAGAATTCGGTATGGACAACAAGGAAAGTATCCTAAATGTAGCTGACAAAATTTCCCTCATTGTACACTGCATTGTGTTGCCTGTCTAATGGAACAGTCAACTTTCATTTTATCAACTCAATAAGGCACAGAAGGATATAAAACTCTTGTTTCATAGATTTAAACAACAGAACAACAGGTCATATCATCATAGTGATATCCCAATAGCGCTACCAGTACCCTCTAGCATCAAAATATTATTTCTAATACATTTATTCCTGAGTGAAATCAAATACCCACTTATACTGGAAATCAAATCTCTTCAAGACCAGGATGGAACCTCCAGGCAGACAGCAATTCTTGGCACCACTTTCTGTCCATTATCTGCAGTCATGGGTTCAAATTCTAATCCAGGGGATTTTGAGATCAAACATGGGGGCCATCGCTTCAAGACCCAGTTGAAACCTCCTCCTCCCTGATAGAAACTTCAGACAGTTAGTAATGGCACTTCATACTCTCAAAGATTGCAATTGAGGTTTAAATTATAATCCAGGGGGATTATCTCTTCAAAACTAGGTTGGAGTCTTCAATCAGTCAGCAATTCTTGGCAGAACATGCAATGAAATTCTGTAATCACTTTGAATTTTAATCCTGGAATATCTAGAGATTTAGACTGATGGTAACTCTACTTGACAAATAGTAACCTAATACCTGTAACATGCTGAGAACATACCATGATGTTTTTATCTACTGTATCTGAGATGTTAAATATTAGTAGAAAATTAACTTACCTATCCATATTACATATAGGTACATTTATATTTCAATTTTCTCTTTAGGACTTTGATTTTTGGATTGTGGTTTGGACAAGTATATGTCAAATTTCCCTTCTAGCTTGAGGATTTTGAATTATGGACTGTGATTTGTTTAGGTATGAGTCAGCTTTCTCCTTGGTAATTTCTCTTTATGATTTTAAAGTCAGTAGTTCACCCTATCACCTATTTAACTGTTTGTAAAATACTTCACAATAATACATGAACAATTCTCTACATCACACTGGAGAAGGCAAATCTAAATATTCTTCATTCATAAATAAATAGAGATATTATCATATTATAGTGGTATATTAGACAGAAACTCACGTTATCATGTAAATTAAAACAGAAAACTTGTCTTACAGTCATCTCAGGCCATCTTATAGATTGTCTATATCTTCTTTATCATATTATACAGTACAAATAGTCTTAGTTATGTAGGGGTGGTGATTTAGGGGAGAAGAGGCTGGGGTTGATGGGGGTCAGATTCTAGGGTACAAATATTCCCAGGTTTAGAGGGGTTGTAGGGTAATGAATTATAAGGGACGAGATGGGGAAGGGGGTTACTAAAGTACAAATAATATCTGTTATAGAAGGGACGTAGCCTGGTTGTGTTTTATTGAGGTGAAGGAGTTGGTTGGGGTATTACAGGTGATCTGTTGTACAAGATTTTCAAGTGATTTTAAAAGATTTTATAAAGGATTATTCGGGTGTTTAATGTTCATACAATACTGAAATTCAACAAAGATTAAACTAGGTCAATATATGAGTACAGGTGATATGCTGAATAATTCTACAAATCTTGAATAATGTGCCCATTTTAAACATTTTTTAAAGGGATTTAAGTGAGTAATTGGTAAACTGTAGATGACTGACTGATACAATATATTAAGTTGTTTTTTAAAGATCTGATATTGAGTAAAGATGATAAAGTATTTATGTATAGAAGTATAGGGTGATATGTCTGACACTTGTTTGGGTCAATGCTGGGGTTTAAAAAAAGGTGTCTCCAGTTACAAGATTGATGTTCACAAGAGTTCATGAATCATTGAGTACAACCTCAAGAATAGGCCTATAACAGGTTTGTTAAACTTATTTTGGGTCTCATGATATCAAAAAGTTTTCCATCTGCAGTTTGTAATGCAGTGTACAATGAGGGAAACTAGATAAGAACTCGTGGGTAATAGAGGTTAATAAAATAATTGTGTCATGTTAATGAAGGGCAACACCTTACAGTGTACAATGAGTGAAACAAGTTAGAACTTGAGGTTACAAGAGATAATAAAATTAAACTAAGGTTAGAAAACATAGTTACTGTGTGGGGATAAGGTCATCTTGGTTAAAATATCAACTAACTACATTCAGGTTAAAAACTGAGAAAATGATAGAGACTAGTTTAAAAACACTTGATACTTCTATTCTATAGAGACTAGTTTAAAAACACTTGATACTTCTATTCTATAGAGACTAGTTTAAAAACACTTGATACTTCTATTCTATAGAGACTAGTTTAAAAACACTTGATACTTCTATTCTATAGAGACTATTGAACCTAGTACATCAAACAAAATACTTTCAGTTTATACCATTTATAGTCAACTATAGGCCATATATATAGACACCTAGTCAATATAGTGTAACCACTAATTTTTTACTCACAGAAGTCCTAGCTAAGCCTATTGATAAAATAAAAAATCACATGTTGTTTGTGGTCTAGTTTAAAAACTAGTGAAGCGAATATAAAACCCTTTCAATATACACCTTTATAATATATTACTTCAAATATAGGTCATGATTGTATCACTGCAATATCCTTGTTTTTAGAGAAAACTTCTAGGTACAAATAAGACACTTGTTGCTTGTCTTTTTATAAGAGAAAGTTAATACCTAAATCATTAATTTATCCCCTTATAATACTTCAAATATCGGCCATAGATAGACACCTCGTCAAGATTATATAAGATAATCATCATTGTTTTAACAGAGAATATCAAAAATATAATTCCTAGGTACAAATATAACACTTGTTGCTTGGATCTTGTACAGAAATCCAAGACATCAATTTAACTCCTTAAAATATCGGCCATAGATAGAAACCTAGTTATATAACTATAATTATCATTTGATATAACAGAGAATATCAATATCAAACAATAGGTCAACTATTGTATAATAATATCAAAAGTTTTAAGAAGATCGACATAATGGTAGGAATGTTCTTCATAACACATGGTTTTTAGAATTTCTAGGTAACAGCTCTTTCTCTCGTCTAGTTTATATTACAATAATTCTCTATTCTCATATTACTGTAGAGTTTAAATCAATATTTCTATATAATATCTCCATTAGTCCAATATCCGCCCGGTATAATTTGTAAATTTGTCAATTATCAAATGGAGCATGTTGTCTGTAGAATGTGATGCCGGCAGGTTCGGGTGTGGTTTAACATTATTATATACAGCATTATAAAATCTATACTCGTCTCCTCGCCTAGCTTTTATCTCTCAATATATAGACGCGTTATCAATTGAAATTCACCTTGTATAAAGTCCAGTAAAATATATTAAATTTTCCTACCTTTTGACGGGATCGCCCTCCATGTTGGAATTCAATACTCACAATCGGTCGGCACTAC